TATTAAGGCTGATTCAAATTAAATCTGTGAAGGAAAAATTGAGGTTACAGGAAAACCACAGATTCCATACCGGGAAGCAATTTTTGTTGCTGGTTGAAGAGAATACTGAATTATTTTTGGCAGAGAGAAAGGGGACAAAAACCGCCATCATTATTGGACCTTCTCTATCAAGCACTACATAGTATCTTGTAATCCTCTACCACATCCTAAGTATTTTTCCATTTCCCTTTTCTCTTTTGAGATTTTTCACACATTTGAGATAAGAATCATACTGAAACCAAACCATCTGATGAAAGACTGCAGTAATTTATTTGGCCTGTTTGACCAGGTTTTGGTAGTGGGGGGCTAAAGGGGTGGCTTCTGTGAGAAGCTGCCAGAAACTTGTCCAGTCAATGCCAGCTGTCTCCAGGATGGACCCACTCCTGACCAAGGCCAAAGCCATCAGGAATGATAATAATGCCTCTGAGATAACATATTCAAGAATGAAAAAAAGTTACTGCACAGATGTTCCTGTGGCCAGAGAAGAGAGGAGTGAGAATATGCAACAGAAACAACCCTGCAGACACCAAGGTCAGTGCAGGAGGAGGGGCAGCAGGTGCCCCAGGCACCAGAGCAGATTCCCCTGCAACCCTTGGTAGGGCCATGGTGAGGCAGCTGTGCCCCTGCAGCCCACCAAGGACCACGGGGAAGCAGAGATCCACCTGCAGCCCATGGAGGAGCCCATGCCAGAGCAGGTGGATGCCTGAGAGGAGTCTGTGAGCCCATGGGAAACCTGTGCTGGAGAGGGTCCTGGCAGGGACATGCACACTGCAAGTTTCCTGGTAGGACTTGTGACCCTGTGGCAGACTCCCATCAGACCAGGCTGTGCCTGAAGGATGCGCCCCAGGGAAGAGAGACCCATGCTGTAGCAGTTTGTGGAGCAGGGAAAGAACTTTCCTCCCTAAGCAGCAGCAGCAGGAATGTGTGATGAACTCACCAGGAGCCCCACTCCCCATTTCCCTTCACTGCTGGAGAGCAGAGGTAGGGCCCAGAAAGGAGGGAGGAGTAGAAGAAGATATTTTTAAGATTTCTACTTCTTGTCCTGCTCTGATTTTGTTAGTAAGACATTCAATTAATATCCTCAAATTCACTCTGTTTTGCCTGTGATGGTAACCAGTGAGTGACCTCTCCTGATCTCCTGACCTCTAACCCATGGAGAGGGGAGTGGCTTTGGTGGGTGCAAATTTTAAAGACCAATAAAGCTTCCTCTTCCCCATTAAAAAAGTCTTATTAATCCAGAGATTGGTGGTACCACCAAACATGAAATTTACTGAGGGGAGGGGGGGAAACCAAGTAGATTGCAAGAGGACATCTGCAAATTCCAAAACAACTCAAAGTGCATGGAACTTCCAAGACACCTGTATAAATATCTCTCTTCTCATACACTGCCATCTCAAAGACTTCAGGGACTCTCCTCTGCACAGGCAGACCCCTTATCACTTCTCTTTCATCCCACAGAAAGCCTGGGACTGAACTGTTTCTGTAAAAAAATTTCATATGCTTTACCTGCCAACTGAAACAAATAATTGTTTTTAAACACCAGCAACTTGAATGAGCATGTTTGAACGAGAACAGGAATTTCAGATCTTAGAACAACAAAATGTGTTTTGAAGCATGGTGAAGTGTAGCCATCTGGGAACCCCTCTACACTGTGGAAATCCTCCTAACAGATGTGACTACTGACCCCTCTACCATTACTCTAAACAGATTCAGATTTTTACTTAAGATATCCTGAAATTCCTTTACTGTCCTGTAAACTCAAAACATACATATTTTAAGGACATGATAAAAATATAATTTCTTTACATGGACTTAGCTATGGCACACAAGTAATTTTTTTAAAGGATGGTACATATGCCTGGTTTAGAAATAAGAAAATTAGGACATTTCTATCACAGTGCCTTTATAAATATTAAGGATTTTATAAAAAGACTCTTATCTAAAGTGGTCTTAGATTTTAGTAAGCTAACAAGTAGCTGCTTATTATTTTAATATTTAGTATTTTTAAATACATTTGAAGTCGATCCCTAATTAAATTCTGCATCAACTGCAACACTTCACTTAGAAACACTTCACCTAACATTTCATGAAACTTACAGTACCTTCACAACCTTGGAACCTCTGGAGAAGCACATTTTTGACTTTTTAACCTAGTTTAAAGGAACTTACTCCATAACTGACTACTTAGAACTACTTCAAAATAGTACCATCAAAAAGAAACATGTATCTGCTTTGTTTTGGCTCAAGGGAAATAAAAAGAAAGAAAACAATTCTTGCAAGCAAAATTAATCCCTGTATTAATGTTTGGTTGAAACACACATTTTGCCATTCCTCATCTAAACATTTAATAGAAAATAAGCAGAAAAAGGCAATTTAGTACGTTTCTAATTACATACCCGTGTTACAATAATCTGGTTGCAAAATACATTCCTATCAATACAAATATCTTCAGACTATACTGCAAATGCATTCCTTTGTATGCTTTTCTCATTGTAAGATCTTAAATTGTTCTCTATTCTACCCCATAAAATTCCCATCCTCAGATACAGGAATAATATTCAAAATTTAGCTTCCTTTTACTATATAGGAACTTGTCTAGATTTCTTTGAAATCTGCTGCCCATGACACTTTCAACAGGAGCTCCTGAGCCAATCAGAGCCAACATTAAAATGGAGGCATTCTCAGCAGCTTAATCTGATCTTGCTGAGCCTGACAGTCTTGACCTAGCAGTAGGAATGCTCTTGTTTTGTGTGGTCTGAGATCAAGATAGTGAGACTACTGGAACAAGCTGGGATAAGCCAGGGGCTACGGGAGTAAGGAAAGTCCTGTTAAGAGGACACTGCAGAACAGAGCAGCTCCTGAGTGGATCCACTGGCACTTCCTGTTTTGATCAACTGATTCACAAGATGACATGGATGTCTGGTTCCGCCACTCCTGGAAAATGCTTTGAGCACACTGACCTGTATTTCCCATTTGTGGTTTGAGCCTCGAGTGGCTCACCCTGTTTGTTATGGAATTAACTCCTAGCAAATAGTTTGCCACCAAGGAAATTCAATGGCAGCTAACCCAACCTTACAAAAGAATTGTTTCTTAACAGAACAGAGGGGATCTTAGGCAATCTTGATGATTAATAAGAAAATCATTGCAGGAACACCATCTCATCACTGACAACCTTCATTCTGACACACCTGGTATGTGTTTCTGGCTACTGAATGAATGAGCTGCATCACATAAAAGATGTTCCTACCACTACTGGTTTGGAGGACACAGGAAGATGACAGCTATGGACAGTAAAAAAAGTAGGAAGTTATTCCTAAACTGTCAACAAAAGTTATTGGTTCAGCAGTTGTACTTTAGAGGTCTTTAACATCCTTCAAACTCATGCCTTGCTGTAGGCAAATCAAACTATGGGAGTATTTGACATTTTAATGGGTGGCGCTGGGAAGTCATCCAAGTCCAGTTTTCAACATCTCAAAGAAAATAATCATACAACCAATATCTTTCTATTAAATAAAGAGACAACACTATATGGGACACGAGTTGCAGAAGGGAATTGAGTACACATAACCCTACTGATTACGTGTAATATACTAATCAATTTCTCCAGCTGCACTGGAGATGCACAAATTCACAGGTATAATTAAAAGAGACCTATTTACCATATTAAGTAAGAGGTAAGAAAATTTTACACTGTCTCACAAAATAAAGTAGAATTAGCAAAAGTACAATGAAGGGTTGTATTACAGGTATTCCATATTAAAGAAAGATAAAATAAACTATTTTGGGAACTTCAGACATTTGATACTATTCACTAAACCCTAAAATGGAAGAGGCAACCAAAGAAATTTAATCCAAATTTCTCTCTGTAAACTAACAAATAAACTGTCAGGCAGCAGTTTAGATGCAAACAAAAGACACCTTTTCTATATAACCAATATTTAAAACTTAAACACTCACTTTCACTGTTTTTTGCAGGTGTCCAAACTTAAAAATGGGCTCAAAGACATACCTGAAAGCAGGACAGGCAATGAAATACAATACTGCTGATCACTCACTCAGGAAGGACATAAAATGTGCTGGGCAATATCCCCTGCTCACATCTGGCATTTATAGTATTTCCCTATTTTGGCATTCATGATCCAATTTTTTCTTTTGTCTTTGTCCCTTTGCTATTGAAATTCAGGTATAAAAGGTATGACAACAAGAGGCAGTACATCAGAGGAGGAATAATTAGCACAAGGACCTGCTTTTATTTGGTTCTAATTCCCCTCTTCTTGCCATTTTTGTGCTTGACTTAGAAGCCCATAATCCCTAGTAAAAAGAGAACCAACTGTGTGAAGATAGAGAATTTTTTTGGTGGAGTGGTGTTGCCATTTTATTTTTTGCCAGATCAGATATTAACATACAAGGAAAGCAAAAAAACAACCTCCATCCCTCAACTGCTTCTAATACTAGTCATCTTTAAAAAGACAGTGGACTAGAAGGCAGAAAAAGTAACTTGTGAAGGTGATTGGGGGTGTGTGCTTTATGTTTCCCTTTTTAAAACAGTATTGTGTCCAGAGTTTTCAACCCAACTAGTTATGCTCATGCCCTACCACTTGATGCTGTATAAAGCTTTTACCTGGTCATATCAGTAAACAGACTAAAATAATAATCAACTATAGCATCAGTAGTATATATGACAAAGCAGATTCTACCAAATAAAATTTGCCTGATACCATAACTCTTTTCCCATGTGCCTTTGTACAACAGATGTCTGAAGTTGATGCCGATTTGTCTTTTTTCGTAACTGAGACATGGACAGATATTAGATCAAACAGCTGTTTTAATATGGTATTAAAGACTGTCACTAGCATAAAAAAAGGTGGCTCTGAAATTTTTTGTAAGATATGGTGGCTGTTTACCATATGCTTTTTATCCCTGAAATACTCAAAATAAAATTTTGCATGCATTAACCTTACCTCTGAATTAGGAAACTGAATAAAACTGTGCTGCACTTCAAGCTTCCTCCAGACTGTTTTCATCTGTACTTCCACTTCATTAGTTCAAAGGTGGTATTATGGAAATGCATATTTCTATTGATCTGCAAAACACAAAGAGGATTTGATTAAAGAGATAGCTGAAGAAACCATGTTGACGGTTTATGGTCTAGAATGTGAACTGTACATTGCAGATACTTGTATCTGGAATTAGAGAAACCATCTTTTATGATGAGCTGCTCCCAGCTAGAGAGAAACTTCCTAGGAATTGTGCATATCCAATAGCTGCACAGTTGCAGCATATCTGTAAAACACTGACACAAAAAATACATTTATTGTTATCAGTAATTGCTCACATTAAAAATGAACCAACCAAAACATTTATATCCTTTAATTTAAACACATTTATCTTAGATGAATGGTGATGTCAAGGACAAAGGGTGTTAAAAATCTCTGTAGAGAGTCTTCCTATGAAAATAAGTCTTTCTCATCTCTCCTCATAACCCTTGGATTCTCCTGGCCAGCCAGATTTGCAAGCCTCCAGACACCATGTTTCTAATTTCTTTTTTTCCTTTTAAAAAATTCAGCAGACTAGAGATTCACAGAATCAACTAGGTTGGAAAATACCTTTGAGATCATCAAGTCCAACCCATGACCTAACACCACTCTGTCAACTAGACCATGGCACTGAGTGACAGACACATCCAGTCTCTTCTTAAACACCTCCAGGCACAGTGACTCCACCTCTATGGGCAGCGCATTCCAGTGCCCAATCACTCTTCTGTGAAGACCTTCTTCCTCAAGTCCAAAGAAGGGACACACTGTTGGTGACACCAATGGAAAAAGCAAGCCATGCATAATTCAATCTTCATTATAAACACCAGAGAATAGGTAAGACTGCAGCTCCACACCAAAAATCCACTGGTGTCACACTATAATTTGAAGTACACCAGAAACTGCAATATACCGCAAAATAACCAATAGTTTCTTTGTAGCTGTACACAGGCATGGTAACTCCTGGGAACTGAAAAGCAAGCCAAGAATTTGGACAAAGGTATTGGCAGTCGGGTGGGTTCGATTTTTGGTTTGTGTTTTTGAATTGCTGTATATCCCAGCATCAAGGCAAGTCTGGCACAGGCTCTTACCCAGTTCTCTTAAGGATTGTGAGCAAGCCTCACTTGTGTTAAGTGCCAACATTTTCAGATGCACTGTTGGTAGCTAAAATGGGCTTATCAGCTTTGTTAGTTTTATTCCACAGTGAGCAGATGCCACCTATTGCAAACTTTTCTCATTTTATCAGTGTCACAATTTCTGAATGTTTCTCTCATCTGATGCTTTTACGAAGATCCTACAAGAATCTTACTATTTAGAAATTCCAGTCCTATCATAAGTGATCATAACCTTGAAAATCACACGAAGGCTTAAACACCACCATTCCAGCTTATGGTTATGTTAAATAACATACAACCATCATACAGTGTAGAGATGTAATGACTTTTGAATACCAAGGCAAACAGGAGGGATGCAAACAGAAAACATGTGCATGATTTCAGCAGAGAGTTCAAGCATCTGCTCTCCTCTTTTCCTTCCGAAGGAACATAAAGACCTTTACCATTACAAGAAGGTCAGAATACTTCTGTCTCCACATCCATTTATAAGCACCGCTCCTCACACACTGAGGTTTAATAGTCTTGGTAATAAATAATAAATTTGTGCTAAATGGTAACCCAAAACCATCCAGAATATCAGATAGCACCAATTCTTAAAGACAGCTGTCTCCTCTGAGCAGACAAGCTGACACTTGACTTATTTCTTCCATGGTAAAACTGAAAAAACATTCTAGCCATGCAATAGTGTTTGTACAGATTGGTTTTGCTTTTTTAAGTAAAGGATCTGTAAAATATATTCATCTCTTCTCCTCTCTCTAACCAAAGACCTCAAGTTCATCTTCTGGTAGACTCCAAAAGAACAACAGAAAAAAACTTAGTGTGCATTCTGTTTTTACAACACCTCCAATCTTCCTGTGTCTAGTATTTGATTTATATGAAGTCCACTTTGTATTATTTAAAGAGTTTGCTTTACAAGAGTAAAGACATTTCTGAACAACACAGCTCAGGGTTCTTTTGCTTTGTTTTTAAAACCATGTCCTCCTTATATTTTTCCAAACTCTCAAACTGAAGAAGTAGCTGTTCAATTCTGTAAGCATTCACTGCCTTTCCTCATTCCAACCCCAGGAATAGATATCCAAGCTCTCTTACTAAACAACTTTATTTTGGTGAACTTCCTGATCTGCATGACTCTAGGTATGTCTATATTAGCATTTAATTCAAATCAGGACTGCACTTTTGAAGTCCATCTCCCAAACAACCCTATTTTGCTTTGCTTTACATTGCAAAGCAGTCATCAAGTACATGAACTAGATTTCTTTTGAATAAAATTAGATCACAGAATGAGCTTCAGGTGTACATAGTACACGCTCCAACCTCCAAGAGGAATTCAGCCACAGAATCAGACCAGGACCAGCTTGAAATAAAACTCTCACCACCTGTATAGCACAGATGCCAGGTTCTCAGCACCTGAAAGATCTGATCTTGTTACACCACACTGCTTGGTAGTGTGGACACAGACTCTTTTATGACTTACTGAATTTTTGTGTCAGTTCCAGAGTCATCTCTCCCCTTTTTAAAAGGAAAACTAAAAAACCTCTCTCAGAGATAGGACGGAAATTAATGATAATTATTAAATTATGGGAGTGACCTCCCTGTGTTACTATTTCTTCCACTTCTTCATCAGCATGTGAAATGCTACTTGAGAACATACTCAATTTTATAAAAATCAATTTACTAAAATATTTATTTTTATATACTTATCCAAACTGCTTAATTATTAATATACAAGTTTTTCAAAATGTTTATTTATACTATTCTTGATGGCATCTTTCAGAGAAGTACTATCAAGTACAAAATAAAACAAATCAATAAATTATTTGCATAACTATACCTTCACTTTATTAGAATTTGCTAAACTACAGCAATTATAAGAGACACAACTTCAAAAGTACATTGCCTCACAGTCCTTGTCACTAGTTACATATTAAATATAGCTTTACCTACAAATTGTTCTTAGTACCAAGATTAAATTTGAGATTGTCATATACTATCAACTGAAAAATACCAGGACTCAACAGGGGAAAAGAAGAATCTGAATTACATGAACACACTAGCTACTAGATAACCCAGAAAACTGTGTATTTTCTGCCACTGGAAGGCCGCAGGGAACAGTCAGAGTATCTAAATTGAGTAGATTTTAACCTCAGTCAGGAGTGGGGGTGGTTCTCCTGCTAGCAGAGAGTGCAGGAAGCAGTAGCTATGAGCAGGACAGACAGACCGCAGGGACTCACAGTGGCAAAGTTCAAGTCAGTCTGACTTGCCTGGAGGAGCAAACTTACTCAGCTTGTGGATTCCTTTTTCCTGTCTCACCACTTATCTCCAGTTACCGCTTCCCTTCTCAGTAGTTCCAGTTTCTTCAGTTCCAAGGCCACATCCAACTCATTCCCTCACCTGTCTCGTCTCTCGATGCCAAAACCTTTCCTGGCACTTCTCCTGCACTCTGTTCATTCCCACTTTGCTCCAACTGCCTCACCAGTTTTCAGGTGAATTACTTTATTCATCTTAAACTATCTTTCTTCCTGAAGAAGCCTGCTACTTGTTAAATACAGTGTGTATTTAAGGAACAGAAGTTTGTAAAGTAACTTAAAGCAACATAAGCGTTAAACTTAGTACAAAGTGCAATTAAGTACATGATCATACAGGGACTTGTGGGTACAGACAGGGTAGATACCTGACCAATCACGCCAACTTCCAGTTATTTCTTTCTTGCTCTTTCACTTCCTCCAGCCATCCATAGAGCACTTCTGCAGGGTGGCCATTCAGGTAAGCATAGCTTTATTTCAATTTATGAAACAGGACTTGTTTTGGAGTTTCTGTAAATTCAGATCATGGCACAGACATAAGCTTGGGTGAGATCAGACTCACAGTTATATCAGAAAAAAAAGGCAGAATCATTCAGCATCTGAGACTTGGGTAGAAGCAAAGGGGAATAGGAGAAAAGAGTGTAGTGCTTGTAACACGTCTCTGAGTGCAGAGTTCATGGCCAGCTGACAGCTCTGGTAACCAGAGATGGGAGAGGTTTCAGAAGCAGAATTATTCCTTTTCAGGTAAACTATAGTCCTAGACAATAGGCTTTTTGTTAGAAATCTATGCACAATGAAAATACACTGCAGACCCATATGGCAGACTGGAAGATGCTTCAGTTAACAATCTCATGACTGCCACTAGAAAATACAGCCAGAATTGCTGTAATCTATTGCTTTTATGGGACTACTACAGCTCCGAAATATGAGTTGAATTGTAAAGGGAAAGAAGCCATACCACACTTCTAAATTTTACTCCACAGTTCATGTCCAGATAGGAATTTATTAAGGAAACCTTTTTCAACAAGTTTACATACAAGTTAAACCCCCACAGCATGCCGGGAAAAGCAAACATCATACTGTATGGCAAATCTGGGGCTTGCTGGTTTTGTCTGTCAAACAGTGAAGAAGTTTAAGCAAGAGCATCTCATTCAACAAACAGTCCTTCCAAATACAATGAGACCAATTTATGGAACAAAATAAACTGGCTGAACACTTTCCAGTCCCTGAACACCAGGTCTTCCAGGTAGCAAGAGGGAAAGTAAGAGCCTGAGACATGGTTCAAGCACCTTTATTTGTTCTTTGAGGCAAGGTAGTTAAAAATTGTTCAAAATCATGTAAGTAAAAATATACATCCATGAAAGCTAATTTTTAAAATTACTTTTATACCTACCTTTTAATTAACAATCATTAAGTTATTCTTGCAAGGTATTAAAAATGCAAGGAATTATACAACATTCAAGCATTTTATGTTTTACAGTTCTTCACATCGGTATTACAGTAGCTTGGCCTTCCTATTTATCTAGTCAAAACACTCAAATTAGTTCAGGATACCACTGACCTTTCCAGCACTTCCAGGTTGTTCTTGGAAAGCCTATATTTTGTTGTTTTTATTGATCACTCCATGGATCT